GAAAGGAAGGCTATGATAGACACAAGAGTCCCCAGATGCTGCTCTCATAGTCTGTAACCCTATTATGCACACTTAGGGGAAATTCACCTAGTGAGTCTTGCCAGCAGAAGCCCACTCAAGAACTTTCACTAGCATAGCAGGGCTTCCCCCTTCTCCTCTCTCTGTGTCCCCATGCACCCTGAAAGTAGCTTGGGGGGTGGGAGAAGCCCTAGAACAGTGTGTAATGGGAGGAGGGAGGAGAATCATACCACCTGGCAAGCTGAAATGCTTGTGCTGATGAGGAAATTGTCATAGCCTATTCTTCCTCATGTGTGTAATCCTATGATCTATAGGCACCAACTTTGGGGGCCCTGGGGGTGTTGGAGCCCACACAACCCAGTTTCTACTGGCCTCACGCAACCTCTGAGATGATGTTAGAGGCCTTATCTGATGTGACTTCCAGTACAAACCTCCATCAGAGGTCTCACAAAGCCTCGGACATGATCTCCAAGGCCCCACAAAGTCTTGGAGATCAAGTCCCACACCCTGTCAGGCCTTCGAAGTGCCACTGTGGCACATTGATGTAATGTGATGCCATGATGTCACAATGTCATGTTATGCCACAGGTGTCATTGTGCACCCATAACCTGGGGCCCAAGTTGGCACCCCTGCTATGATCCCTAGGAAACGCTCCTAAGGGGCATGTTTTGTTGTGATGTCTGAATGTAGCCTTAAGCTGTGAAGACAAGACCTAAAATACCTATGATTTTAGTAACATGTCCCTTGTATGTGAACTCTAGAGACCATTGAGTAGACCACTGAGTAGATCCCAAGAACATTAATGGCAGTCAAGAAAAATAAAGTTGGGGGCGATTGTTTAGAAGTGAAATACCAATCAACAAGCTGAAACTCAGTCTTAGCAGGCAATGGTAAGATGCTAAAAAGAGGTATCTAGTTAATACTTGATGGCAATCCCCATTTGTGTGAGTCTGAGCTGCTACATGGCAGCTGTACACCCTGTCACTGGAGTGGCACTACTACCACCATGACAGACAGAGGACCACATAGAATGTGCCTGCACAAACACCACCTGTGAGCCTTGTGATAGTTCCTCATGTTTTTCAAGTAGATCTTCAAGTGCACATAGATCATACTGCATGGTATGTCATTTGGATGAGCTATTCTGAGTATTTCAAGCATTTACATCCCATTATTATAGTATAACTTCTTTAAAAACATGTTCCAATATCAAGTATTTACTGATGAGTGAATAATATTCATATATACCACAGCCATTGTCTGGATTTTCGTATCCTACAAGGCCATTTCTTCAACTAATGAAAGTTTAGGAAGTCCTAGATGAACATTGTATGTCTTTGTATCTTGCAATCATGATAGCACATGGAGGGGCAGATGTTGGGTGAACACCATGGGTAGAGGGTCAGCTGTCTCCTGCTGCTGATCATGGCCTCTGAGGCTGGCTGATGATGAAGATGATGATTATACCATTAAGGAGAAATGTCATGTGGATCATGAATGGTTGGATCTAAAGATAAAGTCTGTTCATAGCATCCCCAGAGCAAATATGTTGGCACCACTGGCAGTGTCCCATGGCCAGTTCAGATGTCTTCTTCCCCCCACCCCCAACTTATTTCTGAGTAAATAAAGGCAATATATTTGCTGTCCCATTTTGATTCCCCACCTCCTTCCCGCCTTTGCCCTCCCTTTGGTACCTTCCGCCCTGGTAGATGGCTTACTCATTCCACATTTCCACAGCTGGCTCTGACATTTATGGGCATAATATGGGTGGCTTTGGATGTGGAACAGGCAGCAATGAGAGGGAGCTTCATTGAGAGAAGTACCTGGAATGCCTCTTCTTCGTAGCCCAGCATATTAAGTTGGCTGCATCATAATTTATACCTCCACATCCTGCTCATTTTGTAACCTGATGCAAAATGGATGAAGCATTTCAATGAATAATGAAATGTGATCTCTTAAGACAGCCCCTCAGCAAGAGGCCCCCTTTTTCACAGAGGAGAAAAGCTATTGGTTTTGGTCGCTTTGAGAAGTCTATGTGGGATCTCTTCCCTTTTGCATTAGAAGTGTTTAAATGATGATGATGATGATGATGATGATGATGATGATGTGTGCTGTGGCTTGAATCTGGAACCTGAAGAAACTGGGGGTTGAGTCCAGCATCCTGTTATCATAGTCACTAACCAGATGCCTATGGAAAGGCCAGAAACAGGACCTGAGCAGAAGAGCACTCTTTCCCTCAGGATTCCCAGCAACTGTTATTCAGAGGCAATAGTGCCTCTGACAGTGGAGGCAGAACATATCCATTGTGTCTAGGAGCCATTGATAGTCCTCTCCCTCATAAATTGCTTTAATCCTCCTTTGAAGCCATCACTACTTCTTCAGGGGTGAATACAATAGCTAAACTATACGCTACATGAACAAGTATTTTCCTTTGTCCTGAATGTCCTAACATTCAGCTTCTTTGGATGTCCCTGAGTTCTAGTATTATGAAAAAGGGAGAAATACTTTTCTCTATCCAACTTCCTTTGCACCATGCATAATGGTAGAAATGATCATATTAAACTCTTCCTACAGGATGCATTTTTTCTATCATACTGACTGGTGAACCTGTCATAAATGAATTTTGTATCATTCCTTTTTATTTTATTTTATATGCTATCAGCCATTGCCACAGCTTGTGACAGTGAGTTACATATTCTAAATGTGAGTTGTGGATAGCAATACCGTACTTTATTTGGTTAGACCATGGAGGAGTTACATTTTCCTTTAAAAGGGTAATGTAAGCAAGTTCTTGGATTCCAAGCCATGTCAGTTAGTTATAAATTCCTAGCATACTTTTGGAGCTTGATAATATTAGGTAGAAATCGAAAGCAGATAAAACCAAGAATGCAAATGAGCCCATATCATAAATGTTTGGTCATTCCTCTGTCTCCCCTCCACCAACTTTTCACTGCATATAAAGCAATCTCCAGTTCCAAGGAGCACATGCTGGAGCCTTTGCAAAGAAACAGCAAAAGGGCATTCCGCTTATTCTCTTTTCAGTCCATTTGTCATCCCTGTCCCTGTGCCCATTCAATCAATATCCGCGTCTTGTTGTGGAACGCCTTCCATTGGAATTGAGCTTGCCTGTTCTTGGGTCATGGATCTGTGTGTTTCAACGAGTTGTGCCTTCTCATTATCTACCCTAATTGGGGAGAAATTGAACTTCCTGGGACAGAAACTGTCAAAACTGTTTCTCTGATGTGTTTATAAGGAGAAAAATTGGCAGCTTAGCCCAGATAGGGGCTCCTAGCAAAGTTTACCAACTGCCGCTAATTGCTGATTCTTTTTGGATAGAGTATAAATGGCCACAATGCCGCAAATGAATCTGTGGTGCTCTTGGCGAGAGCTGAGTGCTGCTCCTTCAAAGAGCTCCAGAAAAGAGGCTCTGCTGATTAGCCACTGGGAATAAGATCCACCTCAGTGGGTGAGCACGGCTGACCTTGCCTTCTGCATCCACAGCTTGTCCTTGCTGGGCAGAGAGTTGCAGTAGGAGCTAGGCAGAGCGCATGAATAGGCAGGGGGGGAGCATGCTTTCCAGAAATTAATTATTCCTTCTATTCATAACTTAATAAATCATCTGCTTCACATCTTTTCTTTCGATTTGTGAATTAGCCACAGAAATTAAAGTTTTCTTCAATGCATTCATTAAATATTCTTGGTCTATGGATCATTGTTGAACAGGCTGCATGAGTATATGATTGCCAAAGGAGGTTGTGATCCATGGCTCAGCTAAAACGATGCAAACTGGAGGAAGCAGTAGCTGTTCGTGAATTTAGACCTTGTGCTTTTTCCTGATTATCCTTAGATATTTACCCCCAAATTAGTCTTTCCATGAATGAGTCTGTTGGAACATGGCTTTTACGTAGAAATGAGACCCAATGGAACATCCACAGAAGTATCAAACACACAAGAATCCTGTGAACTTAAGTTATTCTAAGGTGAAGCCAAATTGCTGGTCAATTCTCAGAAGGCAATTTACACAGGTAAGATACATATGCAGCCCGTAGTGATGCTGGAGGGGGTAGAGCAGCCTTCCTCAAATTGGTGACGTCCAGATACTTGGGAGCTGTGGGTTGCAGACAAAGACTTTTGTGAAACTCATTCATCCAATGCGCACATATGAGCATTAAGGGCTAGTGATGTTTGCTTTAAAGAGAAAGTAAGCATTAGGAGTCATTCTCCTTTAAATTCAACTTACCAGAGCAAGAATACTTATTGCAAAGTATTGGAAGACACAAGATTTACCCACCCTGGAAGAATGGCAGATGAAGGTGATGGACTATATGGAACTGGCGGAAATGACTGGCAGAATCCGAGACCAGGGAGAAGAGTTGGTGGAAGAAGATTGGAAGAAATTTAAAGACTATTTACAGAAATACTGTAAAATTAATGAATGTTAGAATGATGTCAGAATGAAGTTAAGTGATTTTAGCAGCAATGTTACAAAGGAGTATGTAAAAATGGATTGTTAACAGGTGAGAACTTAAAGTTACAACATATTAAGTTAAAGGATTAGCATAAAAACAAAGAGGGAAAGGATTTGCTGAATTAGTTAATTGAACTGGAACACAAAAAAGGGAGGTGTGAGGAGGTCAGGGAAACAAGTAAATGAAAGAAGTGTTTTTACTTTTCTGTATTTTGTATTTTTTCTTTTTTTTTCTTTTTTCTATTTTTGTAACCTTTTTTGAAACTTCAATAAATATCATTAAAAAAAAAAAAAACCAACTTATCAGGTAGGCCAGAGGCAGCACTTTAACAATAATAAGCAGGAAGGAGGGAGGTCACTTCCTTCCCTCTCTGGCACCTGGCACAGAAGCACACCAGGACTAAATCCTCCAATGGCATTTGTAAAATGCAATTTCTCCAATGGCTCCTGATGTTGCAGGAATGACCTTTGGGAAAACTACAGTGTAACAGGCGCTGGAGAGGAGAACGAACAAGACATCCATTGCTCAATGGTAGAGCATCTCCTTTGAAGTCAGAAGGTGACAGGTTCAATTCCTGGCATCTCCAGGTAGGTCTCCTGCCTGGAATCTTGGAGAGCCACTGCCAGTCAATGTAGACAATAGTGAGCTATACGGACCAATAAGCTGAGTCAGTATAAGACAGAGCCCTGTATCCCCCTCCCCACAGGCAGAGTGCAACCACTGTTGTTGTTGCCTCCACCAGCCCAGCCACTAAGCCGGGGTTTAAAGGGCCACTAGGGAATTGTGAGATCTGAGGCATCATGCACTTGGGTAGGAATTCAGCATTAACCTGAAATAAGCCAAGCACCTTTCCATTTTGGGGTGAAAGTTAGTTCATCAAATTTTCACCAAGTCAAATTCAAGGCGAGCCACAGGTGCCGCCCCCCCATCCCCAGTTACAAAAGGATGAAATAATGGCAAGGCATTTGTATAGCAGTGATTATTTTTATCGGACTACTGCGTTGCAAATAGTGAAGCAAAAAAATGACACTTGATTATAGCATATATAACAGCGGTGAGCCAAAGGTTTTGCAAATCAGAATTAAATGGTAGGGTTTAAGGTTTAAGGAAACAATCAAAGAGCTTCAGGCCGAGGCATCCTCTCTAAAGCAGCCTCCTCAGCAGCTGAAGTCAAGGAAGGGGTAAGGCATCCAAACAGATCAAAGATTCCCCGCCCCTCTCTTGCTCCAGTTCTCCTTGTCACATAAGTGCTGTACTTACATTAATCAGGCAGCTCACAATGAAAGGCAATGTACTTTAGTAATAGCTGCATTGTGGCGTTCCTGTGGGAGATGGGGGCCTAGACCTTGTTGGCTTTTTAATGGGACCTGTCAGGGGAATTCACCACTGATGAGGAAATGAGCCTCGCTCACTTCAGCTCTGGTTTTTAACCTCCCAATACCATGGCGAGTTTTGTTAAGTGCACTTTGTGGCTCTTTTTCCTCTGCACCAGCCATCTACTTAATGCAAAATGCCACTTCCCAGCTTTAACTTGGTGGAGCAAAGTGCAGAGCGACAAAAGCACAGTGGGAGAGGGGAGCGAACGGGAAGGAGCGTGTGCGTGTTTATTTGCTCCCGTTACAGCTCTGTTGTTCCGAACACAGATCGAAAACTTGACTTCCAAAGGGTCCCTCAGCACATGTTATTTGCACATAAATGACCGCAGGTGATTTATTTATCCAGCGCAGCTGGCTTCTGCGAGAGAGACTGTGGGTTTTACCCGCCGATACATTAATACTTCTCCCTGCAGTGTTCAGAGAACCTGTGGAATTCTCCATGCCACAGGAGGTCAGAGAATCAAACAGTGTGGTCGGGCTTCTGTTTTTTGAAGGGCTGTGATAATTTTATGCCTCTTCAAAAGCACTTGTGGCTTACAGATTGCTGCAAATTCGATACAAGCAATCAGATCGCAAGCATCCAGGTGTGATTATGGTTGCACCAGGGACAGGAAAGAATTCTTTCCCCATTGCCTCTCTCCTTCCTAGGTAGCATTGTGCAGTACTGGATTCATGTTGGGGTGCAAGCAAAGAATGGTTTGCTGTTGTCAGAAGGAAGAATAAGAAATCAGATATCTGATGGTGCTTGAGGCAGGGTACCAAATATGATAGACTAATGTATGATTCATTTTGATCATTCTGATCTCCCTATGAGGACGAGCAATTCTGAATCTATTCTGAAACTGCTATCCCTTATGAGGCATGCCCAAAATATGACCACTATCCATGTCATGTGCCATTTATTTATCTTGATTTCACCAATAACTGTTGTTGTGTGAATCTATTTATTATTTATCACTTTTAAAGAATAATAATAATAATAGTTTTCCCTTAATCAAAGCAAATGCCAGAGCATAGTACAAAATATACACACATACAACCAACCAAATTATAATTTAAACAATAAAATACACCATCCACAAAAAAACCAGCTATAAATGTCAACAGCCTATTTCACATACATCTTGCCAGCAATGTTATGCATGCTCACCTTGGAATAAGTCCTCTTGACCTACCTGTTTGCAAATATGAGCACTAACTAAATTGTCACAGATTTGTTATAAGCCGTGGCTACTCAGCTGCTGTGGCAGCAACTGACTGAAGGAGGTCCATCTGAACTCAGTTTCCTTCCCCACTTCTCTTTTGCTAGCTGCTTCTTTATTTATTTTTATAAAGGCAAAGTAGAGAGGTAGGCAGTGTCTTGACATGATGATATACAGCTACTTCTTCCTGAGATGAGTGTGATGAACTGCAGCTTCCATCATCCAAGAGGATTATGTTCTAAGATGCCATCCTACTGAACTACAAATTCTATTATCTCTTAACATTGGCCATACTGGTTGAGGCAGTTGGGAATTGTGGTCCAACAGCATCTGGTAAGAACCACATTGGCAACCCCTGGTTTAAGCCTTGCCATTCCAGATAGAAAGAGATGCATGTCATGCCGTAGCATCAAGACCCTGCATTTGATTTCAAGAAAATAAGCAATCAGGCCTGGGGGAAGAAATGGGGACTCTCATCTGTGCCTCCCCCATTCAAGGATCTGCTGCCTGGCTACCACCAATAAGGAAAGCTTGTGGGGAAGTAGGAGTGGGTGATGAGGAAGGTAGATAGGGAAGGAAACTGCTCGTGAGAGTCTATTTAGCATCCTAGCCAGACATCAACTTCTCCAGGAAGTTTTGGTGTAGTGGTGCTTCTTGCTGAGGCCCAATTCATTATTTGGTACCCTTCCCTAGTACAGTCTTGTGAAAGTGAGTCACTTCATAACAGAACTGTATGTTACCACATCCCAGGAAAGTATTGCTGTACTCTAAGATGAAATACTAAGCAATGTTGCTGTGTGAGGACCCTTTAATGGGATCATCTTACTGCATCAAGAGTGAAAGGAAGCCTAATCACATGATGGCACTTTCATCTCAAAACTGACCACAGGGGTCACATGGAGAAGCAGATGCAACTCGGTAAGGTTCTATAGTGAACCACAACATTTTAACTGCATCAGGAAAAGTTAGATGTTATCCAGTCTTGTGTATGGGATAGTAAGTGATCAATAACTGTTGGAGGAATATTTTTAGGAGCCAATCCTAGAAGGAATGGGGTCCTCAAAGCCATTTCCCCCAGACAGCCTGAAGATCTTTTGCTTCTTACTTCAAAGGTGCCTGAAGACTTTCAAGTGCAAATATTTGGATGCCTGAACTTCAATGAGTACAGAGGCGGTGGCTTCCTTCCTTTTTTACTTTTTTCCTTCCCAACGGGGAATTATCGCCTCTAAAATTTTCATAAGGATTTTCAGGGAAGGAGATGCGTTATCATTAAAGAATCTATTTGCCTGAATTCCCCTCCCTACAAAACAAAAACCCTCCATAACGATGTAGCCACAAAATATTGCAGTAATTGGTTGTCTATTATATAGCCCCAGTGTTATTCCATGTTTTCATTTACAGCAAAAAGGTGGGAGAGAACCCTTTCTTAGAAGAGGCTGTTCTACGACTTACCTTAAATGAAAGTATCTGTAGGGAAAAAAATTACTGCACTTTCAATGTAAATTGTACATTCTATACTTTACATAAAAACAAACAGGCCATTGCCCCAAGGAATTTACAATCTACATTTTGACAGAAGGGAAGACAACACAAAGAGGAGAAGGAAAGACTGCAGAGGCAAGCACATCAGGGTGAATAGTATTTGCAGACGCAGCCAGTTATACAATTTAGGATTAGTTATAGTAGGCCATACTGAGCAGGGGATGGAGTTTAACCACAAGTGTTTGACTTATTCACAAGATCAATTTAAGGACTGAACAAAAATGTATTTTCAAGAAATTATCCACCTACCCAATACAGCTCTGTTTTCAGTTTTTGTTGTTGTGGTATTATTATTTTCCATAAGGTGATTACATGGATATGGTGCCCCCTTCAGTATACAATTAAGCCACCTGAGCATCTCACCCTGCTTTTCCCTGGTTACATATCCACTGCAAACCTCTTTACAGTTCCCTACCAACATTGTTTCTTAATTCTTCAAATTGCCCTTCTCATAGGGTTGCCATATTTCAAACATTGAAAATCTGGACAGAAAACACTGCGGACTGCAATATTCCAGATATGTCTGGAAAATTCTGAATGTATGGCAACCCTACCAAGGAAGATATCAGTTAGCCAATCAGATTCCACTATATCAGTGGTGTCCATACTTTTTTTCAAAAGAGGGCCAGATATGATGAAATAAAGGGCTGTGAGGGCCGACCAAAGGGCCAACCAAAGTTGTTGACCTTTTACTCCACAGTTGTTGAGCTTTTTTTATTAAGAATTGAAAGTTTTGAGCTTTTTAGGGTTGAAATTGTTGGGGCTTTTTTAGGATTTTACCCCAGGAAATAAACTGCCACTATATGATGCCATCACCTGCAGCAAAGCAACATGGCTCAATGGTAGAGCATCTGCTTTGGACAAAGAAAGTCTCAGGTTCAACCCCAGCATCTCCAGGTAGGCCTGGGTAAGACCCTGAAGAACCTCTGCCAGTCAGGCAATACAAACACAGCTAGATAGTTCTGTCAGTAAAAAGGCAGCTTCCTACATAAACAACACACAAGAGCACCTTCCAAGGGAGCAGATCTCATTTATAGGCCCCAGACTGCAAACCAACCATTTGATGGTTGAGTACTCAATGACTATCACATTCCCAGACCTATATGCAGTCTGATCCAAATCTGATCTCATGTTTCCTGATATGGCATTGTATACTGTATAATTTGTTCTTACTCTGCATGACGCACATCATAATCATGAATATAAAGAGAGAGTTTTGGTAAGGAGGCACCTGGGTTTGGGAAGGAGGTACAAGGCTCTGGCAGGGCCCTATAGCCATCCCACCTCCTTCTCAAAGCTGGAAAAGCTCTAACTAGGCTTTGAGAAGGAGAAGGGAGGACTCTAGGACCCTGTCAGAGCCTCACACCTCCTTCCCAAAGCCCAGTGCCTCACTTACTCGGCTTTGAGACTGCACGCCCTCAGCTCAGCTCCCAGTGTATGCACACCTATTGCACAGCCCTAAATCC